ACTGTCCGTGACCATGGCATCCGGGGGCTGTACCGGGGGCTCAGCTCGCTGTTGTACGGCTCCATCCCCAAGGCTGCCGTCAGGTACGTGCCCCCATGGCAAGGGGTGAGTGGGGGGGACCCCCAACAGCAGCAAACAAGAGGGTGGCTTTGCCATTGGTGTCTCCATTGGTGTTTTACCAAAGCTGTGTGGTCTCCCAGGCAGGGAGGGTCCTCTCGCAGGGTGTGCAGCTGCTCCTGGACCTAGAGCAGGGGGGTGCAGACCCCTGTCCATGTGCCCAGGGGTTGGCAGTGTTGGCTCCTTTGCAGGTTCGGGATGTTCGAGTTCCTCAGCAACCAGATGAGAGATGAGCAGGGGCGGCTGGACAGCACGCGGGGCCTCATCTGCGGGCTGGGGGCTGGCGTGGCTGAGGCTGTGGCCGTGGTCTGCCCCATGGAGACTGTGAAGGTGGGTGGGTGTGGCTGCCACTGTCCCCTGCCTTGGCACCCCTCGCTGGCCTGGGCTGGGCAGGGGCAAAACCCAGGGATGCCCAACGAGGGCTGCATGCATTTGCCCGAGACAGTTTTCTAGGGGTGGATCTGATGCTGGAAAACCCTGTGGAGGTCAAGTCAGGTGGCCTTGTCCCCTTCCCCACTCCAGGGAAGAGCCCCACACCCAGGAGCTATCTTGTCACCCATTTTATGAGTGTAAGGCCAACATGGCTGCTTGCAGCAGCAGTTTCCCAGTTTTTCCTCTGCAAAATGCACTGCTGGCCATGGGCACAGGCTTCCCCTGTGATCTCTCCCAGAGCTGCACGGCTGCATGGGTTGGCTCTGGTCTTGTGACTGTCCCTGGAACAAGGCAGGAGGAGGCTGCCAGCCCTTGGGGCCATCACATCTGCATTACCTCAGCCAGGACAAGCACATCATCTCCTTGTAGGTGAAGTTTATCCATGACCAGACCTCTCCCAACCCCAAATACCGTGGTTTCTTCCATGGCGTCCGGGAGATCGTTCGGGAACAGGGTGAGTCCCAGGAGAGTGGCACCCTGACTCCCTGAGTACTGCCATGCTATGGGGATAGGGTGGGAGGTGGTGGATGGGCACAGGCTGGGACAGGTGTCTTGGGGAGATTTTTCTCTGCCACTTGAGGCTGGTTTCCCCTCCAACATGCTCTTCTTGCAGGACTGAGGGGGACCTACCAGGGCTTAACTGCAACTGTCCTCAAGCAGGGATCAAACCAGGCCATCCGCTTCTTCGTCATGACCTCCCTCAGGAACTGGTACAAAGGTATGGTGCCCTTGGCCCCTACAGGCCACCCTGGCTGTGCCTCTGGCTCCCCCAAGCACCCTTGGGAGTTGTGATGGATTTTCCATCCATAAAACCCCTATTTCTCATGGCTCAGTCACTTGGAATGGAGGAAAATTAATACCAGGGTGGGGTAGCACCAGCTTGTGGGGCTGATGGGTCCTAGTGCTGGAGCATGCCTTTCACATCCACCCTGAGCCCTGTGGTGCAGCGTGGGCTCTGTGGGGCAGGTGCTGCTTGACTCAGCACTTCCCCTGACCACAAGCAGCCAGACCTGGGACCTTCCTTGTGTGCTCCCTCGGGAATGTACGTGGGAATCCCACCACCACTCTGACCCTCTCTTCCTTCCCAGGGGACAATCCCAACAAGGTCATGAACCCCTTCATAACAGGGGTGTTTGGAGCCCTTGCTGGAGCTGCGAGTGTCTTCGGCAACACTCCCTTGGATGTGGTGAAGACCAGGATGCAGGTAGGGTGCCAGGGCCCCGTGTGGGACTGCTCTGCCTGCAGCAGGACAGCAGCACACACTGCCTGGGAGCTCTGCTGCAGTCCCTGGGGCAGGCACATAATGCCTGTGAGGTTTGCTTTGGGAGATGTCTGGGATTGCTCCTGAGCCATGGGGAGGGTTTGCACAGAGGTGGGGATATCCCTGTGGGGTCTGATGTCCTGCAGCAGTGGAGAGAGATCAGTTCCTCATAGAACACCCCCAGCTCTGTGCCTCTCCCCTGAAATCCCCTAGATGCAGCCCTGGCTCTGGCTTCTGATCCTGCTTTTCCCTTCCCACAGGGGCTAGAAGCGCACAAGTACAAAAACACCTGGGACTGTGCCTACCAGATCATGAAACACGAAGGGCCCTTGGCGTAAGCTCTGCAGTGGGGATGGCTGGTGGGGAGGATGGGCAGGGAAGGGGCTGTGAGGGGACCCAGCCTCACGGCCCTCCTCTCTATGCCTGGCAGGTTTTACAAGGGTACAGTGCCTCGCTTGGGCCGTGTGTGTCTTGATGTGGCCATCGTCTTCATCATCTATGATGAGGTGGTCAAATTCCTCAACAAGGTGTGGAAAACGGACTGAGGGGCCGGGCCACGCAGCCCCCGCCTCCTGTGCCCCGCAGGGCTTCAGCTGGAGCGCAGAGACCAAACCCACCCCACCTGCGGCACTGCTGGGGCCAGGTCTGCTCTGCACACCTCAAACCTGGCCACCTTTATCTTTAGGAACAGGCTCTGGAGCAGGTTAAATTACTAGTTGTGTGCTGAAAGGAGCAGAGAGGGAGCTGCATCCCACCATCCCAACCCCCAGCATCCCTGTCATGCCCACCCCAATCTCCTGATGACACTTTCCCCCAGCCCCACATCAGCTATGTATGCTGGTTATCCAGGTTGATATGTCCCTTGGACAGTGGCCTTGGGGCTCCTAGCAGCCAGGACCTCCTGACTGCCTTGGGAGCAGCTCTTTTGGGGCTGCTGAGAGCCCCCTCGCACCATGTAAATGCAATGCCAAACTGTACATCATAAGCTGGGCTGATACCACTGGGTATCAGTGGGGCTAATACTACTGACAGGGTCACAGCAGCTCTTGGAGGGGGCCCAGCAGCCCTGCACCCCCTAGGATGGGAGAGCAGTGACCCCCTGGTGTGACCCCAAGCTCCCTCCTCTCTCCCTGCCAGCACCAAGACCACTGGCATGCAACATCCCATCCCATCCCTGCTCAGCCCCAGGCTGCTGAGCAGCAGTTGCCCAGAATTGCACATCCTGCCAGGTCTGTCGTTCTGCTCACTGTGGGCTGGGGTTGGGGTGAGCCGGGTGCCCCCTCACCTGCCGTTTACAGCCGAGACGTGTGTGCGAGCTGGGGCGAGGAGGTGCAGCCCCAGGCCGCAGGCCTGGCCCCTCGGCCAGGGGTGCAAGCCCCTTTCTTCTGCCACATTCCCCGCATCTGCCCTCCCGCCGCGTTTCTGTGGTGCCGTAGGTGATCCCGTAGCTTTTGGAGCTTTAGAGCTTCACGCTGACTCACTAACACCCATGGCCATGGGGCTGGAGCCCTGCCCTGCCCGTGCCAGGCTGGCCCCACTGGATTTGTGCCAAATTTCTCCCTGAGGGAGCTGGGGGTGCAAGAGCCAGGGCTCAACCCATCCCTCCTCCCTCTTGTAGCCAGCGATGAGCTCAGCCTTAACACAGGAGGATGAAGGAGGAAAGCCTGGGCACGGTTTACCTGCGGCTTTTGGCTCTGAAGCCAGTGAGGGTTGCATTAGGATTTTTTTTTTTATTGTTATTCTGTTTTACATTCGCAATTTGAATAAAATCAGTCTGGCTTTAGCAGCTGCGTTGGCGTCCGGGCTGTGCTGAATGGGCAGTGAGTGGCTCCTGCCCTGTGGGTGGGGGACGGGGCTCCCCATCATGCCGAGATGGTGCTCCTGGGGGAGCATCAGCTCCAACCCAGCAGTGCCCAATCACAGACGCTCCCAGGCAGGGTTGTGTTGTCTTATGCACGGTGCTTTATTAAAAACCCTGGTTAATTGTATGAAGTCCTTGCCCTGCCATGGAGCCGAGGGGCGGTGGAGCAGAAGGGAACGGGCTTTGTCCCCCGCCCAGCCCGGGGGCGGTGCGGCACGGCCGGAGCTCCCACCCGCACAGCCTCGCTCCTCATCCAGTGTCCGCTGGGGCAGGGCAGAGCCATCGTCCCGCGGGGCTCGCAGGCTCCCGGTGCCATGCGGGGCCCGCTGCTCTGGGCGGGCTGGCTGCTGGCCACCGGCTGCCTGGTAGGAGCCACGGGCAGCTGCCGGCAGCGCTGCTGCCCCGGCAGGAACAACGCCTGCTGGGCCCCCGGCGCCCGCCGGGCTCGCTGCTACTGCGACTCGTACTGCCAGAGGACGGGAGACTGCTGCCAGGACTACCTCACCTCGTGCCGCCGTGCCGGTGAGTGGCGGAGGGGATGGCACTGGCCGGACCGCGGCTGGGGACGCCAGCCTGTGCTGCTGTGCTCGGTGGCGGGTGTTTGCTGTTAGCTGTTGGCCCCGGACTTTGGGTGATAACAGGGTGTGTCTGGGGATGCTGGCTGGGCTGGGTTTATAGCAATGTCCCAGTTGTCCCCTTTTTTCCACGCTGAATGTCTGGGTGGCCCCAGTGCAATGAGGGAGCTCCATGGAATGGCCTCTGGTCTGCAGCTGGTGGTAGCGCTGTCACTGCAAGCCTGAGTGGTCAGTGTCCTGGACCCAGCAGGACAAGCCCCGGTGTCACCTCTGCTACTGTCACAGGGGACTGTGGAACCGGGGGCTGCACTAAGGGTGTCAAACAGGGCTCATGGGCTTGGGGAGTGCAGAACCAGCCTGCCCTGGGGACCCAAATCTGGGTAGGCAGGCGCTGGCCACGGCCCCCTGGACAATTGCAGCAGTCAGCCCTTCCTAATCTCTGGGGAGATTAGCAGGGTCCCAGCTCAGCGCGATGCACACAGGGATAAAGTCCTGCGGAAGCAGCTCACAAAGCCCCTGCACTAGCAGGGGTCAGGGGAGAGGGGCTGCTGGGGTGACTCTGGCCCTTGCCCTTCCTCCTCTCTCCTCGTTCCCTGTGCTGCATCTCCCCTGCTCTGCTCTTTCCGTTGTTCGTGACACTGAAACTCTTTCTTCTCCCTCTCCTCCATCCCTGGCAGCGGTGGGCTGTGCTGTGGGGCCCTGGGGGCCGTGGAGCGGGTGCAGCTCCCCGTGCGGGGTTGGCAGCAGGGCCCGCAGCCGCCAGGTCACTGTGCCGCCCCGGCACGGGGGCGATCCCTGTCCGGACCTCAAGCAGCGCCGCGGCTGCCTGGGGCAGCACCCGACCTGCGGGACGGCCAAAGGTAACCGGGCTGCGTGCTCGTCCCCATGTGCTGCCGTCCCGGGGTGTCTTTAGTCATCTCCGTGGCCCTCACAGCTGCTCTTCTCCCAGAGGTAGCCAAGGTACTGCCCAACTCCTTCAGCCAGGACTTCAGAGATCCCTGGCGAAGAGCTGGGCTGCCACTGCCGGAGGAGCCCTCTGGGTATGTGTGGAGTCGGGGCCCCTCCGTAACCCCCCTCCCCAAAGCCGGGACCCCCCTGCACCCCCTGTGGTCATGGGCTCTTTGCACCCCCAGACCCAGGGCCTTTTTTCTTCCCCCAGACATTACTTTTCTCCCTGCACTAAACCATGGCCCCGTTGCACCCCCATACAAAACCATGGCCCTCTGCATGCCCCACAGAACCGCCATCCTTCCCACCCTCCAAATCAGGATCCCTCTGCACCCCCCCAGAGCCATTACCCTTCTCACCTCCCCGGCCGAGACCCCTCTGCCACCCCCCAAACCTATATCCCCTTTATACCCCAATCCATCAACAAACCGCCGCAACCTCTGCCCTACCTTCCGACCACCATTTTCCCTTTTTTCTCGTCCCATTTTCCCCCCTCCCCAGCTCCCCCTTCCCCGGCTACTGCGGCTATTTCCGCCTGACGCAGGTGGGAGCCCCGTGCCGCGGGCGCGCCTGGAGCCGCCGGCTGCAGCGGGACAAGCAGGTGTGTGTGGAGTGCTGGGGGAATCTGTCCCACCGCCGCCCCCACTGCACTGGACACGGGCTGCAAGGAGCCAGGTAGGTGCTAATCTGTGGCATCCCCACCATGGGATCTCTCCTGAGGAACATCTCTCCCTGTCTTCTAAGGCATTCTTCTTTTATATTGTACTTATTTGTGTACAAAGCTGTAATTATGTTAAAATATGCCACAATGTATACCATCATATTATTAAATGAATCAATAATATATCCTATAAATCAATATTATAATAGAAAAATAAACATATTAAAACAGAATAGACTATCTCTGTTGGAAGGGACAATGATCATCTGGTCCGACTGCCACTATTTTATATGTATATATATATGTATAATATAAACCCATGTATAAAACTATATTTGATTTTTTTAAAATGTATTTATTAATGGCACACCCTAGTTTTCACTGATTTTCCCTTCCAGGACATTTTGGGTGGCCGCTTCTGTGGTGGGGTGCCAGGGCTCCTGGGTGCAGGAGAGCCTGCAGGAGGGGTGTGTCTGCTCCCCACCAGCTCTCATTTTTGTGTAGGATCCCCCCAGGAAGGTGAGCTGAGCCCCCCCATGCACCACTCCTTGCTGGGGAGGTGGGGAATGAAATAAAAATGTGGTCTCTTTCATAATTTCACCCTCCTGCAGGTTTGCTGTTCACCCTTGGTGCCAGCTCCCTCTGTTTTCCATTAAATAATTTGCTGAAGAATGGAAAAACCCTTCTTATAAAGACTAAAAATAAGGGAATTGCTGAAGTGTGGTGATTAATGGTAGAACAGCACGATGAGGTTAAATCTGGGTGAGAAGATGATGTGGCGGTGACACGGTGTGATGATGTCATGCTCAGCCATGATGTACTTTCCACAAGCTGCAACTGGCAAGCAACGTGAGGACGGAGGGAGCATCCCTCCTCTTGTCTGAGCTCACTCACTGCAGTGTCAGGTGAGCCAGGCAGGGCAGTTTTGCAGAGATATTTAACAGACACCCAAAGTCTGTACACAGGCAATGGTGCCAGAACCCAGTTCCAGCCGTGGGGCCTGGCGGTCCCATTGGAAGGACTGAGGCTGGGTGCTGCTGCCCTTCTCCAGTCCTTGCCCACCACGACATGACCTTGCTGGTGGGGTCCCTGCCCCAGCTTTGAGTGGTGCTACCACAGCCTGTGGTGGGAGCACGTGCCATGCCAGGGCTGGATCTTGCTCCACTGCAGCCAGTGGCTGTTGTCTGTTTGCTGCCCCAGGACATGTTTGGCTCCTGCAGCCTGCTCTCACACCACCCTCCTGGGCAGTGGAATTAAAAGGCTTCAACACTGGGAATGTTCTTGGCCTCTTTATTTGGGATAAAAGCCCATGTCGGCCAAAGACCAAAGTGCTGGTTAGAAAAACAGGTGGTGAGAGTTGAGTATGAGGGCATGTGAGAGTTCTGGAGCACAGGTCCCCTCCTGCCAGCCAGAGCTGAGGGCAAGGAAGGCATGGACATAGGCCAAAGCAATGCTGCACTGGAGTCCTCAGCTGCAGAGTTAGAAACTGGGAACAAAAGTGAGTGTGTCCCAAATTGTGAGTGGGGTTCCCCTGAGTTACACCACCAAACCTGCAGGCCTGGCTGCTGGTCACAGAGAGCATCCAGGAAATGGAGGGAAATGGCTGCAGGATTCCATGTCACACTGCTGCATGCTTGGAGCTGTCAGTCCCCAGCAGTGGTCCCAGCTCTCCTGGTGCATTGTCCTGATTTGGCACAGGGGCCAGGCCGTGCTGCACCAGCAGCCCCTGTACCAGCTCCAGCTCCTGCTCCAGCTCCTGGGAACCACAACCCAGGCCTGGCATGGTGGTGGCACTTTCCCCCAGCACCTGCAGCACCCGTGCCACCAGGCGGGCCCTCACCAGCAGCACGGCCAGGGCTGTGTGGAGCCTGGCACAGCCCAGCGCCTTCATCCCCCAGCGGACAGCAGCCCCTGTGGAGAGAGCGGGGAAGGAGCCAGGAGTGGGGCGGGGTCCCCATGGGCAGGGCTGGCCTGGGGAACAAGGACACTGTTTGCTTGTCCCAGGCACTCCACGCTCGCCATACCTTGGCTCCAGCAGCGTTTGCAGTACTGCAGGTCCCTCAGCACACCGGGGCCTGTGGCTTCCAGCCACTGCAGAGCCAAGGCATGGAGTGGGCTGCCAGTGGGAGCCTTCTCCAGGAGCTGCACCAGGACAGGGAGCAGCTGCTGTGCCAGGACAGCTGGCTCTGCAAAAACATTGGGTTCGTCCTCCTTGTACAGGCTGGCAGCTCTGGGGAGAAAGCAGAGGTGTGAGTGAAGCCAAGGGCTGGCCCTGTGCTACCCCACACTCCCTCATGCCAGTCCACAGGTCCAGCAACTCACTTGTTGGCCTCCAGCTCCTCCACAACACTCCTGAGATCCAAGATGGGGATATGCTGAAGTAGTGAGTTGAAGGTCTCAGGGTGCCCCCCGAACTCTCCCAGAAGGAGCTCTAGGAGGCTCTGGAGCCCCACGTTGTCCTGCACAAAGATGCAGCCATCTTGGAGCAGCTCCCCTGGGCTCTGCCGCAGGAGGCTGGCGAAACCTGAGGCCTCATGCCGGACCTCCCGCTCCTCATCTTGCAGAAGGCGAATGGCCATGTTTATCAGCCTGAGGAAAGGGAAGAGAAGGTAAAGGAAGCATACTGCATGCCCTAAAGCATCCCAGCCTGCTTGGAGGGGAGGATGACACCTCAAAAGAATGCTTCTCTGAGGGGCTTTTTTCCTGGACTGTGAAAGACACAGCCACCACCCAAGAGCTTGGAAAGGAAGAGGTTGTGCTAGGGCTTGAGGGACTCAGCAATGCCATCTGCTGCTCATAATGGACTGGCTGCTTGTATTAAAATGCCACCCACACGTTTTTTTTTACACTGTGAGCTCTTGACTGCCCCTGATTTTTGAATGAGTGGGGCTTTCCTCCATACCCTTGAGTTTTTGCAGGGGACACCTTTTGCAGGGTCCATTAACCTGCAGCAGGCCGGGGCTGGGGCTGCAGGGAGCAGTGCACAAGCACAGCCACCCCAGAGATGGGCTCAGTGACCTACCGCAGAGCCGCAGGGCCGAGCGAGGGACGGGCAGCACGCAGGGATCGCCGCACCACGCCGGCCCCCGCCAGCTGCAGGGAGCGGGCAGCCGCCAGCCGCAGCAGCTCGGACCAAGCGGACTGGCTGCACTCCTCCAGCGCCGCACACCAGCGCTCCACCAGCGCCACGGCCTCGTCCCCACACCTGCCAAGGCTAGGGAAGGAGAGCGATTTCAAGCACACCTTGCTGCTCCATTAAGGGACCAAAGGCCACTGGCTGCCCTGAGATTGCAGGAGCCAGGTGCAATGCTGTGATTTATGGGAGAGAAATCATGGCTGTTTCTAGTAAGGACTAAGGAAGAATCTGCTGGAAGAATTGGGCAGCCCCCAGCAGCAGCAAGGACCTACTGGTGGGCAAGCAGCAGGCTGGCAGCACACAGTGCCTGGAAGAGGAGTTCAGGCCCAGGACACTCAGCCTCCACCATGTGCAGCAGCATCTCCAGGCATGATCTTGAGGAGCCCTGGAGCTTATTGGAAGCTTCCTGGGACCATGCCGAGGGATCTCTGTAAAGATGCAGCAAAGCCTCAAGGTACAATCTCAGGAACTCTTTGTCCCTTCTCTCTTGCAGCACCGACTGCAAGCTCTCCTAGTTAACAATAGGAAAGAAGGTACATGGTTAGTGGTCCTAGCACTGCAGGACCAGGCCAGTGCGCTTCACCCATGCACCCTCAGCCTGGGGAGCACCAAGCTTCTCAGCATTGGGATCTCAGGTGTCCCATCTGCCTGGTGCACTGGGGCCCCTCTATTTTACTTGGTGAATTTGGAGCTCCATCATACCAGCAATGTCAGCCCAAGAGCGTTCTCCACCTCCTTGCATGTTCCTCCCTCCCCAGCAGTCACCCAGCTCAGGATGCCAAGCTGGATGTCGGGGTTGGGCTGCTGGAGAAGTGAGCAGACGGCAGCAATCCGTTCGCTGTCTGCCAGCCGGGCTGCCTCGCTGCACATGAAGTGAGCCATGGTTTGGTGGAGGACGGCTGAGCCCACCTGCAGGAAAAGAAGATAATTCCCCTTCCAGTGCTCAGCCTGGAGCAATGGCTCCCCCTGTCCCTGCCCAGGCTCACTGGCAGTCGGGCATGGCCATGATTTTCCTGGCAGGAAGCAGTACCTGCAGCTCGGCACAGCCTGACGTTCCCCCCTGCAGGAGGCTGCCCAGCTCGGTGCTGATTGTGTCATGGATGTACTGGGTGAAGCCAGGGCTGAAGGATGTGGGCAGGAGGGCGAGGACCTGGAGGAAGGCGGCGCGGACGAGGGGGCAGCGCTGGGCCGGGGTGAGCAGCCAGCCCCGCGCCTCCAGCTGCAGAGTCACTGGGTGCAGCGCCTCGGCTGAGAGCCTGCAGGGAGACACAGCCTCACCACGGGGCAAGCCCTGAGATGGAGTCTTCTGTGCCCAAAAGGCTGCCCTTGGCACAGTGACCCCAGCTGGGGAGACAGCGTGGCAAAACTCACCCCCTGGCGCCCGTGGCAGAGCCCAGCAGTGCCCGCATCTGCAGCAGGTGCCCGTGGACAGCGTTGTGAGAGCGGATCTCTCCGGGGGCTGCAGGGAGCTGCCGGGCCAGCTGCAGGAGGAGCCTGCAGCGCTGGGGAGGGGGCACGGCGGGCACCAGAGCCTTGGCAGCCATGGCTCGTACAGCGTAGATGGGGCTCTCTGCCAGCCCCAGCAGTGGACCCAGGAAGGGAGCAGAGGGACTGTGGAGCAAAAAGGGCAGTATGTGGTGATGCTCTGGCTGGAGTAAAATCTCACAAGAGCCAGGGCCAGCCTCAGCAGCATGGGAGCCCTTCCCACTGCAGGAGCCCTTGGCTAAAGCACAGCATACCCACTGCCCCCATACCTGCCGGGACTGTCAGCACCAGGCTGCAGCTGGGCTAAGAGGGTGAGGATGGCGTGGAGTGCAGGGTGCAGGTGGAGCCCCCTTGATGTGGGTGCTGTGGCCACCTTGAGCTCTCCGAGCAGCACAGCGCCCAGCTTTGGGTGCTGCCCAAGGAAGGCGTGCAGGCTCAGCCCCTCTGATGGGCAGCCATCCCTGTGGCTCCACGGCTGTCCCAGCAGCCGGGATGTGAGGGCACCTGCAGGGACAGAGAAGGCAGTGTCAGGTCCCATCCAACCCTGCCAAGCCCCTGCACTTGAGCCCACACAGGCCCCGAGCCCTGGGGGCTGTGGGATCTCCCTCTGCCAGTACTCACTGAAGAGCTGGATGGCCGCATTCCTCATGGCCCAGCACGGCGAGCCCAGGCCCCGCAGTGCCAAGGCCATCATGGGTGTGGCGTGGCACAGCACTGCCCCACCCAGCCCCGCCCCACGGACCAGTGTCTGCAGCACGTGGAGGGCACACACCTGGGGAGAGCACAGGGGGCTCATGCTACCATGTCAGGGGAAGAGGGTAGGAAAAGACAAGGGAGCCAAAGACCATCAGCTCCCAGGCTCGACAGCACGACCAGAGCTGTGGGTTTTTGCTCGTTGAGCTCTCACAGCCTCACACTGGGTACCTGGCACAGCTCAGCGGACCCAGCACAGATCACCCTGTCCCCAGAGGGGCTCCAGCAGCCAGGAGTGCCACACTCACCTGCGGGAGGTCCAGGGTCTGGTCCCAGTCCTGTGGCAGTGCTGTGGCAGCCAAGGTCAGCAGGGTCTGGATGCAGCGGGTCAGGAGCGGCCGTGCCTGCGCCGGGGCCTCGCCGCTGACGATGCAGAGGAAGAGCATGGGGAAGCCGGCAGCACGGCGCGTAATCGAGCTGCTCCGGGGCCCACTCAGTGCTTCCAAGCCCTGACAGAGAAACAAAATCCACCTGAGATGTAGCTGGAAACCTGTCACCTGCAACCTGCAGCTGCCCTGCCTGGAGGGTGCTTGCCCCAGGGAGTGCAGAAACGCCTCTGGTGCTCCCTGGGGCACACGGGAAACGTGAGGCACAATGAGTACTGTACCTGCTCCAGCACAGCCCGTGGGATGGCCTGCAGCTCTGGATCCGGGTGGTTCAGCAGCGCAGCGCAGAATTTGGTGAAGCCCATGCTGCAGCCCTCCACTGCTCCCTGGGGCAAAGCAGTGTCAGGACAAGCACCCCAAAGGCTGCACCCACCAGCCCCCCCATGGCCCCAGAAAACTCTTTGCAAAAGGGAAGAGCAAGTGAGAAGATGTGATAGGGTCTGGCGCTGGGATCCCAGCCAGGGGACTTCCAGCCTTCCCCACAGCAGACCCTGCCCCACTGCCCTCACCTT